TATATAATACTACAATATTAATAAAAATCCTTTATGTTTTCTAAATTCACCTTATACTTTAGGTCCATGTCTTAGAAAATCCCCCCAGTATCCCCTTAGGAGAATGAGTCTAAGCAATCAACAGAAATTGTACCAATGTGGTTTGGAGTTTTCAGTATTCCATAGCGTGCTCACCACGTGCGTCAGTGAGCAAATATGAGTGTGTGTGTATTTTTTGTGGGCAGTCTTGTCAACAGAAGAAAGCCGGCCACAACTAACTATTCCCCTCGCTGCTCCTACATTGCTCCCACCTCCAGCAGTCATGATTGATGGCACCTGACAGGAGCTGTTTTTTTCCACAGCCAGCTCATGTGTCAGGCTGAAAGAATCAAGATCTGAAAAAGGAAGGGTTAGGATGTTAAGAAGCTAGCTAAGATACTAGAAGTGTTTGGGGGTGGGAGGAAGGGAAGAACTAGAAAGAAAATACATGTACAAGCATCTGGAGGTGATGGAAGATGAAAACTGCAATTTAGACACATCTTACAATTTTTTCAATTTAGGAAGTATTTAGTTCTATAACTAGTACAGCAGTAATAATGGCCTTCTTTCCTCTCTCTGTGCTCCTTTGTGCTTTCTAGTTATACTTCGAATCGCAACTGAAAGAAGGTTAAAAATGTCAGGTGCCTGTGAGTGGAGATCAGAAAGAATCCTCACCCACAAACACTATCACAGGATTAGGGCTAATGGAAGAACCAAACAAGTAGAGGTGAGAGTTTGGAGTTACCAAGTTGTTTCCATCTTCAGACACAGATAGGCCAGTTTAGCTATAAACTGTTTCAATGACATCATTTGACCAAACGTTTTGTCAGGTGGATGAGGCTGCATTTCTAAAATGTCTCTCCCATTTATGTCATTTCCTTCGGAATCAAAACAGTTATTCATTACTCAGTAGGTAGGCAATGACCTACACACATACGCATACATACACACAATACATAGTTAAGGCTTGGCCAAGAACCAGTTTCGATAATGAAGTCAACCATCAACCCATCTGACAGCATATTCTAAGCATCTCTCCCAGAGAAAATGTACTTAAAACATGTGATACTCCAAGTTCTAGATTTAGAAAAAAAATCTGATTAAGCTACTTGTCTAATAGATTTTATTTTAATTCATCCTTATGAGTCAAATGTTCACTGAAAGGACAGGTTCAATAACTCTGAACTAAGAATTACTTCTGAAAGAAATAACAGGAATTTATGAACATCACTCTGCTAAAACTTCCTAATTCTGATTTGTTGTAACTAGCTATTTACAGATTTATTCTTTTCTAGAGATTGCAATGACTTAGTTTTGTGTTGTAGTTCACCAAAAGGAGACTGTATGGAGATTTCCAAGTTTTAACTTAAGGGGAGACCTGAGATTTTTCGTCGAGTTCAAAGACTTAGGAAATACTTTCAAGTGTCACTAAGTCTTCAGATGGGTTCCATTAAATAACCATACAAATGTACATGTGTTACTGACACAGTTACCTGAAATGATACTTTTGTTCACCTGTACGGTTACAGTGGTGGGTTGCACAAGACACTATTGATTTTGTAGCTATCTGTGCCTCTTGAGGCCTGCCATCAAATTAAAAGCTGAGAGAGAAGATAGGTGTCTCTTTGGAGGGATTTGGGGAGCATGTCTTAGCCTGAAACTAGACATGGATGGAAATTGGGACTGAGTCATTGATTTTTAAAGTATTTTAAAATCCAGAGCAAAGAGCACATGTATTTCAAGTGTATGTCATAAATGTTGTTGCTGTTGAATCGTTTCAGTTATGTCTGACTTTTCCTGACCCCAATTGGGGTTTTTTTGGGCAAAAATATTAGAGTGGTCTGCCATTTCCTTCTCCAGTTCATTTTATAGATGAGGAACTGATGCAAGCAAGGTTAAATGACTTGCCCAGGGTCACACAGCTTCTGAGATTTGAACTCAAGTCCTCCTGAATCCAGGCCCAGAGCCCTATCCACTGTGCCACCTCACTGCCCCTATGTTGTATATAGCTTTGTTTATCTGTTGTTTCCCCTGGTAGAATGTGGCCCCTGAAGGCAAGGACTGTCTTTAACTGTTCTCTATATCCCCAGCACTTATCAGAGTGTCTGGCACATAGCAGGTGCTTGGTAATATTTATTTATAAATTGACTATTCTGAAAAATTTTTTTACGAAAGAAATGATAGAGAGATTACAAGTTTTAAAATACAGTTGAATCATATTACAATACAGCTACATGAACTGATATGGTACAAATATAAATTATTTCCCCCTGAAACAGAACTACATCCTGCAAGTAAATATCTACTAAGATTTTGTTACAACACATGAAGCTAATTTAATGCTATTTAATTATAACATAATTCACATTTTAATATAATTTTAATGTAATACTAACATTACAAAGGGTACTATAATTATACTATTGTACATTAAAATATTGTTTTGGTAGTTTATCAAGTATTCTAGAATCTATAGAATTCCGCTTAAAAATCCCTTTCTCCCCCTCCTTCCAAGTCCTTGTGTTTTGGTGAAACTAAAAGTTTGCTGGCAAAGACAAATGCATTTAGGCAGAGTTTCTGCCTGTGCTGCTGATTGACTTAAAGGTAGATCATACTGATAGAGCCAGCTGAGGTACAGAAATTTTCATTAGCAGCAGAGAAACAAGAATAAGCCACCTGAGGGGTCTGGATGCTATCAAACCTGGGCATATGAAGGTTTTCTTCCCCACTGTGGCTCATTTCACTGATATAAAAAAGCTCCCAATATTAAACATCACATTTAAAAAGTGAAAACAGCAAGGTGTGGAGGTGAGTCTACTGGTGCAGGGTTGGTTTGTAATTATTGAGATGATTTACTAGCAGTTTAAAATAATCTGTGTTTAACATGATCAATTATTAAAATGCTAATGAAATGGTAAACATCTGCTAAGTTTTTTATGATAATGAACACTGGAAGTTCCAGAGGTATTTTTTTCCCCTTTGTCCCACTATTCCTGCCTGTATACATTTGATTTGATTAGATTAGGGTTGTGTGACATGTCACCTGTGATGACAAAACCGTTTGTTTATTTCATCCCATGTTGTACTCTCTTTGATTTGATTATGGTAGAAGACAAAGTAGCTCTCCCCAGCTCCTCCAGAGAACCTTTATCCTACAAAGCCATCAAAGCCTCAGTTGTGGAATACAAAAATAGCCTATTTTGCCTTTGGGAGAAACTTTGTGGTTTATTGAAATGATGACAATAGATAATCTTTAACCAGAAAATGGATTTCTATAATAATAATAATGATAATAATAATAATGACCATGTCTTTGTAATTTTAATAATATAAATCAGAATAAAAAGATAATAAAAATATTAAGAGAAGTAAATGTTTTAACCTAAGGCATATTTCTATGTTAGCTACATTTAAACTAAAATTCTAACTATGTTTTATGATACATTCAGGCACAAGCTCTTTAAATGAATACTTTAACATGTACCCCTGCAACCCAAGATGTATTGGTATTGTCTTGTACTAACAGACTCCCCAAACTGACAATAGCTGTAACATTACCTAATTAGAAGGGCAGTATGTAATTAAATACAGAGATGTCTTGTGACTGCCATGTTGAAATAAAAAATGTTTACTTTGATATTGCCTAGGAAAAATACAATTTTCTTTTCTATTATTTCAATGATTTACTTGCTGAATTCTCCTATGAACTCCAAAACAGTTGGTTTATTTCACAGGGCACTTCTAACAATGCTTGCCATTCCTCAGAATTTTCCTTACTACTTTTGTGGATTAATCTAAATGGACTCAGACAGCCAATTCGGTACCACTGTCAGTAATGACTTGGAATGATTCAAAATTTGTAGCAGACTTGTCAGATGGTTGCTATGAAAATAGCATTGGAATAGGGGTGGGTATTCTAAGATGGCATGTATAACACTACAGATGGAAATTTTAATAGGTAGGACATTATCCTCTACTGTTAATTTCTCCTTGAAGTCAATAAGAGGTCATGGCCACATAATTACCATGAACTTCTTTATACAATTCCTAAAATTTCTCTCAACTAGGACCCATTGGTTCTGAAACTTATTCAGGATAGACAGTTTGATTGACATGGTAGTTCAAAGTTCAAATATTAATTTTTATAAAAAATTTTCTTTTAAACCTAATCAGCCTACAGAACAAAGATCTAATGGGGATGGTTACTAATATAAGTGTTAAAGAAAAAAAGGAATCAAAGAATTTATAATAATTTAAAATCTCAAGGTAGAAAAAAATCTCATTTATGGTCTGGTCTTGAGCTATGCACATTCCTACAATATTGCCCCAAATCTCCCCTCCCTTTTCCCAGTCTCATCCTCTTCCCTACATATATTTTATGTATCCCCAAACAAGAGGAAAAATCCTCCATTTGTTTTGTTTTGTGAAAACAGATCATTTAAGTCACAGCTTCCTTGAAAGCAGACAGTAGCCATAGGGCATTAATGTTTCTTTTCCTTTAAAAACAAAACAAAACAACAATCATTACTATTCCTAAATCTATGGATTGCATAATATATCTCTACTAACCATTCGGTGTTGTCACGTATAAGGCAACACCACATGGTAAAAGGCATCTGGCTTTAATAGAAGCTCCTCCCCTTCTTTCTCTTGCCTTTTTGGCTTGTCGGAGCTGCTCAGACTTAGAGATGTTCTCATTCTACAGTATACGCCAGTATGATTCATGTACCATATGTCTTTTCAGAGTCTGAGCAAGCATGGCCCTGGCCATAGGGAAGCACTCTGCATCATTTAGACAATGAGAAAGTAAGGTGCCTTTTAATCGTATTAACTCCTCCTGTACCATTCTATTACTCCCATGAAATATATCTCTTTCAGGTTTCGGCACAGCAGTCTCGTTCTTCTGCCCATAGGTTTTCAAGAGAGATGGAGTGTGAGAGTGATTGAATTCCTTTTGTTGTTGTTGTTGTTGTTCTTGGCAGGTAGTACATGCCACAGTACCACACTTCCTGCACTTGTGCGCACACCTACCCTGATGATGCAGCCTTCCCTGGATATCAAACCATTCATGTCTTTTCCAGTGGATAGTAGTTCTGCTGTTGGCCTCTTTCCAAATTTTAACACAGTGAGTAAATGCATTTTTATGTTATTTATTTGTCCCTTCCTTGGTCTGTTTTCTTTATTGCAGTTGGGAATACCCAATAGATGGAGCCTCTCTTTCCAAAGTGTATAATTTTAGCATCAAATATTGGACAAACCTATTACAGCTGTGTTATGGAAGATAATGTCTCACCTGTGGGAGTTAGACCAGTAGATTCATTTTAGCAAATAGCTTTTCACCTCTTGCTTTGCACAATTTTGATGGTCTTTCCACTAAGATAGGAACCTCTCTTATTTCTGGGATACTATTCACATGCTAGAAGATTAGTTTTGAGGGATCAAGCTACATTGATTTTTTTTCTTGCTAAACTAGAAAGAAAAACAATGACCGTGGACTTTATCTCCCCAAGAGCATTTTTATTTTGAAGGCATTACAGAAATATTGTAAATCTTAGACAATCAGTATTTTTAAAAATGTTTAAGCTATTGTAGATTAAATGTGAGTTTGATTCAATCGGGACTTTTAAAAAAGTCAACACTTTTCTGGGAAAATCCTAGGCTTTTAAAAAAAAATCTGATAATGATTCATAAGATTCTTAAAAGCTCTTTAAGCAAATTCTAGATATGAATAAAATTCTCTCACCCCCCCCGTCCCTTCATTTCCAATAAGCTGGACTACTGTCATAGGACTAAATGGTTTGCCACTGCAACACTGATATCTTCCAATAACAGTCAACAGACTTCTAGGAGTAGAAATGGTTAAGTGATTTAGGTGATGATGGGACTGATTTCTGTACAGTCAGTAGTACAGTCCGGTTAGACATGATCCTTTACATGGATTAGACAGCATCATAAATGTTGCTGCAATCGGAAGAGAATTGCATTATCAACACCACCAGACAGTGAGTGTTTGAAGCGCTGCCAAGTGTTTCCTTTTGCAAACTTATCTTCTGCACGAAGTGAAAACAGCAAGAGGGTTTTTTTCCTCCAGGGTTGTAAATAAATTCTGCTGACAGGCCTTCTGCCATGGCACAGAGTTGTAAGGTAATTAGGGTGTAACAGATCAGCCAACTTTTTAAAATAGTGGTGGCCTTGACTTGGAGATTAAACATTTGAGATTTTTTTTCTCCCCCTCATCGGGTTTTTCAGACACAACTTAGACAATAAAAAGGAAAGGTGGTAAACATCCTTTACGATGCAGCAGAGCCAATCAGTAAGATACATTACCCCAGTCCTCTTCACCAAACTCCATCAATACCAACCCTCTTGGAGCACAGCAACATACTATTTCAAGAGACTAAGTAAAAAGCATGTCCTTATATCTTTTATTCAACATACATGCTGATCAATGATAATCACATTGAATTAGTATCACTTGGTACCTTTATTGCATTATTGTTTTGGTTTTGTTGTTTATTTGGTTTTTTTCCTTTAATGTTTATTTGGGAAATAGCATCAAGAATAGAAGAGGGAGGTAGCAGTCAGAAAACTAAATTAACTATTTATGTGTATATGAACCAGTTCCGCTACTGCACAGATTACCTGTTCACAGCCACACTTTTGCATCTAAAAAAAAAATGTGAATACCTGCCTTATACATAATCTTGAAAAGATGTTTTGGAGGAAAGAAATAAAATTCCTAGAGTAGTGGGTGTGACCTATAGATGTACACAACATACATTTTTGTTTGTTTCTCATTCCATAATTATTGACCTTTGATACCATTGATGAATCAATGATAATTTTTTAAAAAGCTACCTAAAGGATGCTACCAGAAATGGAATTTCGTTGTTTGCTGAAATCTGACTTTTTCCTGGAAATTACTTTTGTTAAAAGAGAAAAGTGGTCACTACCGAGCCTTCTGCAGGAAACAAGAAAACAGTTCCCAGTGAGGCCATGTGCTAGGTCAACATTCACTCTAGTCTGTTACCTTCTGCTATGCGAAGTATGTTTCTTCGATATAGAATCTTTCAGTTAGTTAGAATATTGGGAAAAAATTATTGGTTCAAAGTGTGAATTAATGTAACTTAGGTTATATAAATTGAGTGAGCTGGTCTTAGAGTCAGGAAGGCCTGGATTCAGATCCTGCCTCTGACCTATTCTGAACCTGGGCAAGTCATTTAAACAAATTCTCATTTGAAGTGGCTGAACAATTATCCCTTGGCTTTGGTGGACAGAGTCTCCATACCAGGAGCTCCTTATCTCAGTGAAATCACAAGTCTAAATCAAAATGTGTTTGTAAGGAAAACCTGGCCTTCTAGTGGTCATCACAATGCATATAACTTGTGGATTTTGCATAGCTTTTGTTAGTTTACATTTATGGATTTTGCAGGTGGGATTTTCTTTTGGTATCCTAATCTAAAACTTGTATGCATAGTAAATGCTTAATAAGTGTTAGTTGAGCTGAGATATTATCTGATTTACTCCATAAAGCAACTACCTAATGGGTATGCCCACAATTTTTTTAAGTGTGATGTTTTTTTTTCATTGTTGCTCCCTGCTTGAACTTAATTTTATTTTGTAGATTCATTTGCTGGATCTAACTTTATAACCATTCTACCAAAAAAAAATGCTAAGCCCAACTATCTTGAAAGGAATGAACAAATGTTAATAGAAATACTAGACTTGGAGCCAGAATACTTGGGTTTGAATTGTGGCTCTGCTGTTCACTAGCCTTGTGACCTTGGGCAGGTCACCCTCTCTGGGCCTCACTTTGCTCATCTGTAAAATGAGGAGGTTAGACTGGCTGACCTTTCAGGCCTCTTCCAACTTTAAATCCTCTGATCTTGTGTCTGAAATACTAGAGGACTAAGGAGTAAATATAGTAATGTATAAAACCCTGATTAAAACCCTTTTATCACTTAATCTTTTGTGCTGTGCTGGACAAGTATTGTAAATCAATTTTCTAGACAAATTTGAGTCTACCGCTTTCTCTCCTTACCTCCTTTTTTCTTTTCTTCTAGTCCCTCTCCCCTACCCATTTCCTTCTTCTCCCACCAGTTTCCTTCTCTCTTTCCCTCCCTTCTCCCGTCCCTTTTTCTCTCCCTCATTTTTTTCCCTTTATCCCTTTCTAACCTAGTTCATAACATATGTATATATATAGCTTAAGAGATTTTGCATGTATAATATAGGCCATTACAGATAGCACCTTTGAGGGAATACTGTTAGGAAGCAAACATCATTTCTGAATAGCAAATTCACAAACTGTCCCTCTTTGTACCCTACTTCTCAGTCAAGAACAAACGCCTTACTTCCTTGGTCCCCATGGTGAATTCCATTGATATCTTACTTTTAACCAGGGTATATTTGTGAGTAGGTATAGAGAAAGTGTCCTGTGTATAAGGCATCTTGTTTTCCCACCTGTGAGATAAACACTAAAATGTTAGGCTTTGAGAAAATGACATATTTGAGTTCCTTTTTAGGTTCAAAGATTTTGTCTACTTCTTTCCCAGTAGTTGATGGAAAAAAAATAATTGGAAAAATCTTTCTGTAGGAGAAATGCTCCCTAATACTACTGGGACCTCTGTTGGAGTAGGCAATCTCTAAGGCACCTTCAGCAGTGGTGCAGGAGATAGAGTGCTCAGCTTTGAGTCAGAAAGACTCATCTTTCTGAGTTCAAATCCCACCACAGACACTAAGCTATGTGACTGTGGGCAAATCATTCAATTTTCTCATCTTTAAAATGAGCTGGAGAAGGAAATAACAAACCACTCTAGTATTTTTGCCAAGAAAATGCCAAATGGAGTCACAAAGAGTCAGAAATGACTGAAAATCTATCTTGAACCCAAAGTAGTAAGTACAACATGACAAGGACACATCAGACACATTGGCATGGATAAGCAGGATTCTGTCACACAGCCAAAACCTATAGCAGTCTGCCCTCTCTGTGCCTGATTTTAAAAATATGCACCCCATCATTCACGTATTGGTTAACTTGTCCAGGCTTACAGATTCTTCAATCAACAGAATATTTCTTGAAATCAATGGGCAGATCCTGGGTACCCAGAGATTTGAAGGTTTGTGTTGTACTACCCCAGAATTTTAAAGAGAAATCAAAGAGAAGAGGAAAATGTTTGGTAGATCTAAGAGAGTAAGAGGAAGGAAGAATATTGGACTTGGAACTCAGAAAGACCGGGTTCAGATTCTGCTTTAGATACTTATTAGCTATGTGACCATGGGTGAGTTACTTAACTTCTCTGGTAGCTACCTCATGGAGCAGGTAGGTGGTGCAGTGGATAGAGTGCTGGGTCTGGAGTCCTGAGTACAAATCCAGCCTCAGGCTGTGTGATCTAGCTGCGTGATCCTGGGCAAGTCATTTAACTCTGTTTGTCTCAGTTTCTTCACATGTAAAATGAACTGGAGAAGGAAATGGTGAACCATTCCCAGTATCTTTGCCAAGAAAACACCAAATGGGGTCACAAAGAATGAGACACTACTGAAAACAACCAAACAATAAAAGCTACATTGATAGGACTGTTTGGAGGAACAAGTTAGAAAATGTATGTGAAGCACTTCACCGATTTTTAAGTGTCAGTCAGTAAGTCAACTAGCTTACTGTTTGCCAGGCACTGTGCTAAGTTCGGAAGACACAAAGGCAAAAAAACAAAAATAAAATAAAGGTCTCCTCTCATGGAGCTCACAGTGTAATGGAGGAGACAACATGTAAGCAACTGGAGCAGCTAGATGATGCAGGGGGTAGAGTCCTTGGCCTGGAGTCTGGGAGACTTGAATTCAAATGCAACTGTAGACACCTAGGAGTCACTTAACTTCCGTCTGCCTCAGAGGTTAAATGTAAAATGAGGATAATCATTGTATTAGGAGGATAATGTGTAAATGAGGATAATAATAACCCAGGCTTGTTGTAAAGATCCGAGTGTGATAATAGTTATAGGGCATTTAGTATAGTGCTTGGTACACAGTAAGCACTATTTATTATAATATTATTATAATTATTATTATTACATATAAACTGTGTATGTATATATACACAGAATAAAGTAGAGATAGTCAACAGATGAAAGGCAC